TGTTGATTCATTGTTTATTATGGGCTTCTTGACCAAATTATAGTGGTTTTTTTATAATGATTTTAACGATGATCTATTTCCATCTCTTCTTTAAGACCTTGTTATGTGAGGGTATATAGACTGTTCAAATTTGTGATTTTTTACTTCAATGGTTTTCTGGATTTCTTATTTACGGAACTTTCATCGGAGTGTGTATTAGCTAGTGTCTGTCTCTTTTATTAACAATTTGAATTTCTAATTCCAGATTATATGATTTTGCAATTCAATTGTTCTGTTGTTGTTCATTCCTTTTAAGTCACTTATGGTTAGTAATATGCTTATTCGTCTAATTTCATATGCCTTGTCCACGGAATGGTACTTGTTGATATTCAATTGTTGATGCTCATGGATCTCAATGTCTGTATTTTACATTTCATGGCCTTTGATATCTTATATGGTATGTTTAGGGTCATGGTCATTGGGTTAACTCTCTTACATTGAGTACTGAATATATTCTTCGTACGGGAGCCTTTGATCACACTGGCAAGCAATATTCATCTCCAGAGGAAATGAAGCAGGTGATTGTTATCTTCTGCTTTTATACTTGCATTAGTCCCTGTTTGGTTTGATATTGTTCATTGTCTTCAGGTGTCATGTTGTTTCATTTGAAATGAGTAGTGTGGTTCGATTTTTCATAGTGATATTTTAGTATCAAAAGAGAAAAAAATTTGGTGCCGTTTCACTAGTTTTAAGGGGCCTTCCACTCATTCATTTATTTAATTGTTCCTGATGGTGCGGATTTTACCCTCCTTTTAATAAGTCACCCTTGTATGGAACAAGTACAAAACAAATTAAAAGGTAAGGAAAATAGTCACTTTTTTTAACTTCATATTCATCTTTTTCTTTGACATTGATGTTGAGGAGGACAAGAACTATTTTCTTAGTATTCCCTTTGAATCTCCGCTTTTGAGTTCCTTTTCAATTGGGAACTGCAAACTCTTGACCTTTGATTGAACAATTCCTAAGCTGGAATACCTGTATTGAAGAATTGTGTTATCAAATTTATTGATGCTGATGATTTCAGAACTCACTAAGCTTGAGGGTAGATTTTTTGAAGCTTTTATTTTGTGCGCTTCTATTACATTGGTTGCCACATCTCAGTGTTGTGATTAAATTACAGTTTTCTGACTAATGTAAACCTCTCCTGATATATGCTTTCTTCCTCATCCAAGGAATTGATTGTATTTTATTTTACTAACATATAGGCAGCTTTGGAAAGATATAACAAAATGAAAGGCGATTCCCCTGAAAGATTGGTTTCTGGATCTGATGATTTCACAATGTTTCTATGGGAACCTTTTCTCAAAAAACAACCTAAAACTCGCATGACGGGTCACCAACAGGTAAAATAATTGAATGCTATGTCCGGTTGTTAATTTTTATTTTATTTTATTTTTGCTTAAACCAAGTTTCTTATTATTGTTTATTTGAAGTGCAATACTACCTTAGTTTTGCAGTTTGTGTCTGTATCAATGCTTGTGATTATGACTTAAAATGACAAGATCTTATTCATCAGCTGACATGGTAACAGCCCATATATATAAATCTTAATAATGGAAGTATGAACATGTTCTTGGTAACAGCCTATAAACCACGTCTGCTTTTCACCTGATGGGCAATGGATAGCAAGTGCCTCATTTGATAGGTCTGTCAAGTTATGGAACGGTACTACTGGAAAATTTGTTGCAGCTTTCCGGGGCCATGTTGGTCCTGTCTACCAGATCAGGTCTGAATTGATTTCAATGGTTTCTGTTTTTTTAACGGTTATTCTGTATGGCTAATTATTACCTATCGCCTCACAGCTGGTCAGCAGACAGCAGGCTACTTGTTAGTGGCAGCAAAGATTCCACTCTTAAGGTAAACCACTTACTGGTACTGAACTTTCTTTTTGTGGTGATAAGGATTCTTGACAAAGGAGTGAGATTCTAAGATTTCACGTTGCGTTAGAAGCACATCAGGAATCATAACGTGGTGTAAGTGGAGAAAGTAATTGACATGTGATTTCTTCACATTTTGATAACTATTTATGTCAGACGATAAGAGTCATCTCAAATCTTACTAGTGGTATCAATATCAGTTCATATGTAAGCTGGATTTCAGGTTCCATTGAAATGACATCAAATTGATTTGAGTTTGTATATCAAGCCTAATATTGTTTTCGCACATCCAAGAAATAAAGTGTTGTCTTTTAATTTCCACTAATGATTTTGCCAGTACAAGGCATATTTCTTAGTTTTGACCTGATATTTTGTGGTTATGTACATGGGTATTGTCATGGCATAAGCAATCATGGAAACCTGGATTTTTATTTTCAGCTTCCTGATCATTGAATATTTTCATCATGTATGAACTCTTCAAACTATTGCACTACTAAATTCAGATGTCTTACACTTGTTTTGTTATACTGTGTACCTTGGTTGGGGTGCTATGCTCTTGTTGCTACTAGTGGAAGTATCTCGGGGTTACATCTGTGATTTATGGATGAATTTATTTTAATCATGTAGGTTTGGGATATCAAAGCACGGGCGCTAAAACTAGATCTTCCTGGCCATGCAGATGAGGTGTGTTTTCCCTTCACCTTAAAGACACAGATATACTGTTTCATTTATCGAAGCATGCTTGGAGGAGGATTCCATAGGACAGAGACCAATTAAAAACTGCAGGAAGACGTCAACTAAATCAATTGACCCTCACGTAAAGCAATGCATAAGGATTTGTCCATGTCTTCTGATTCTACTCAAGTGCTTTTAGAAATTGCATGAATTAAGCTACCCCATCCATATGCGAGAAGGCAGCATGTGTAAACCAAGTTTTCCTCACCCATCTTGAATCTTTACAAAAACAATTTGGGCTGCTTTGAGGGAACCCAAGTCCTCCGGATTTCTATCGTCTGGTGGCTCTTTATCTTCATTCTACATGTTATATGAGGAGTACATAGCAGTTAGTGCCACAAAAGAAGACAAACAAAATATGTCATATCTATACTGTAGACTCTTTACTGAATCGATAGACCTTCATTTTAGGCAACCTAGAACAATTTTTCAATTTTCCATTTTATGCATGCACCGGTAAGAAACTTTACACACATGTCCTCTTTATATTGACATATGGTTTAACCCATTTTCGAATTTTCAACTTCTTTTTGAAAGGTTTTTGCTGTCGATTGGAGTCCAGATGGTCAGAAGGTTGCTTCTGGTGGTAAAGATAGAGTTCTGAAGTTATGGATGGGCTAGACCAACGGTAGGCCGAAGTGCGGGCAGCTAGATAATTGAAATACATGATGGTGGTAAATGAGCACTGAAGTATTTGGTACGGTATACATAAAGTATACTGTACAAGTACAGTATACAAACAAGGATTGGGAATCTAATAATCCGTCACAAGAGAGGTTGAAAGGAAAAGCTTCTAAATCAGCATTAAAGTTTTCGATCCACTGGGGGGGAAGGCATTTTATGATCTGTCAGATGTGGAACAGTAAGGAAGCCAATTCATGAATCTGGGTGTAACTTTACGTTATGGTTGGATGGAAACGAACCTTGAACTGAAATTTTGTTTGTTATTGTCGGAAATGTATGGCGCCAATATATGAATATAACATTTCGTAGCTCTGAACAATACGATTCATGATTGTCATTCTGGATTTGTTGCTGCCTTTAGTTAAAAAGCATGGATTTGATGGGTTAAAAACGTACTTATTTTGGGCTGTGGCACAAGTTGATGAACCATGAAGTTGGTTTTACCATTCCTGCCGAAATATGAAGTTGGTTTTTCTCCTTGTAAATGAGAGGTTTTAGGTTGGATTTTCGCCAAAGGGAATTTGAACCACATTATTGCTAGCATAATTGTGAGACTAAGCATATCGTCTCTTCTTAATATAGATAATATCATTTGTTAAAAAAAAAAAAAATGTAAAACACAATCGGGCTCGGTATTATTCAACTCCGTTTCAGATAAAGGCGCATAACGGTTTTAAGCCCAAATGGATTATGCCACTACCAAAGACCGAATTGTTATTTTGTAGTTCGAACAAATGGACATCATTGTTGTATGTGGCACTCACTTACACGAGAGAGTGCGTCAACACAATTTTTTTTTGAGTGATGATAGACCTAAACCCATCCCATTGTTCTATTTCTACACTTATATTATAACTTTACTCACCATAAAAATTAAAAAAATTAAAAAATTATTTCTCCACCCACCAAAAACCAAAACCTTTGACACCTGCCTTGGCAGCATCTCCTTTGGAAAGAGAGAGAAACCAAAGGGAAAGGAAGAGAGAAGCACAAGGGGAGTTTTCCAATATAGAGGCAGATTGCTCCAAATCAATTTATTCCAACTAGAATTGGGTATTCTTTGATTTTAAAATCAGGGTTGTCGTCATTGTTCATTTATGAGGAAAAGGAGGAGAGGATGAGGTGGTAGTACCAGAATTGAAAGGGAGAGTGGGGTGGTGTTTGTTGCTGGGGAGGGTAATGGATGATTGGGGATTTAATAGTCATCGGTCCATTGTGAATGATTTGGGAGGATGATGGATTTATTTTTACTTTTGTTAGTTTTAGATTTTCTTTATTCTCATTTAGTTTTTTTAATTAAAGTTATAACAAATTTATAAATGTGGATTTAAAAGTCTTTTGCTAAAAGGATAATTATGTGATTAATATTTTGATTAAAAGGTGGGTGGAAAAATAAGACAATGAGATGATTTTAGTAGCACTTTTTTTTTTTATTTTTAATAAGAGATTTTGAGTCCAACTGTAAATGCTCTTAACTAGTTGAATTATTAGTAACTCGTATGTTAACGTAACATTTTTGGAGTTTAATTACCACTGCTCAAAGTAATCAAATGTTATCAACAAGCAATTTAGTTTGATTTTATCCAACAAAAAAAAAAAAAAAAAATTGGGTGAGGAAGGTTCCAATCCTATCAAAGAAAGAGAAAGGTCCCAACTCCCAAACAAAACAAAAGCCAAGGTTTGATAAAAAAATAAAAATTAAAAGCCAAGGGGTTTAAACCTAATCCGAATTCCAAGGGTTTTAGAAACTGCCAACGGTATCTTCTTCGTTAGCCTAAAACCCTAGCCATTTGAATGTAGTCTCTGAAATCCCCAATTCCAATTCAAATGCTTCTTCTTCTTCACCAGTAAAGGGGAAAGGGAAAAGGGTCATGGCTGCACTGGCTCACGCCCTGATCGGCGTTCCATCCCGTTGTGGTCTTTGCCGCGCCGTTAATCCCAAGGACAATTACAAGCTCTGCGTTTGGGGGTTTTCCAGAGCAATTGCTTGCTATGGAGTCTCCATTTCTAGTGTTTCCACGAGGAAGAAGGATGGTGGTAATCTCACCGGCCCTTGGGCACTGAATGCAACTGACGCCCTCATCGTCGTCCACAATGCTACAGCTCGCACCACTGTCGAAATCCCCGTTACCTGTTATCAGGTCACTGCTTCATTCCACTGATAAATTTATTATCTTTAATCTTTCTCTGTTTAGTGATAATTTGGTGAATTGGGTACTGATTTAGCTGTAATTTGTGGACTTTCTGTTGTTCAATCCTAAGTTTTACATGTAACATGTGTGACGAAAAGCGTGCTTGTACTTTTGTATATGCTCTAGTATGAACTGTGTTTTGAATTTCAACCTGTCCGTATTGGCCACTGTCATATATTTGTTCATCTGCCAGAAAGTTAATACATACAAAAGGGATACATGTTACCAGATGTTATGTTTGTGATTGTACAGTCTAATAGGCAAATGAACGGTGTTAGCTAAAATAATGAGCTTTGATTTTCTTTTTTTTATTTTTTTTTCAATCGTGTCATTGGATTTACAGATTGGATGTCTATTATTATGCTGCCAATGATGAAATTATTTGGAGTTTTGAGATTCAGTATGTTCCTGTTATTTCACTTCTCTACCCGTTTTGTAAATGGATGTTTTGTCTGGCTGCACTTCTAATTTTGTTCATTCTTTTCCTCCCATTTCCCATATTGGTTCCTTATCTATAGTTTTCTATGCAGAAGAGAGAGAGCTTGAAGAGTTAAAAATGCTCTGTGATTCTAATAGTAGTTGTCAGAGTTCGTATATTATATGAAATTTTTGCTTTGTTTACTTCTGTGAAGATGATTGAGAAATGCATTCCTTGTGCTAGCATATCCATATTTTCTGAAACTTCTTATCACTCTGCATTTAGCTTAATCCCAAATCAACTTGCAGCTTATTGGTGTTCCTGAACAAGCTGAAAAAGATGTGGTTGTTGAAGCAGTAATTGATTTGAAGAGTGCTAAAATTGATGAAGGTTACACCATGGATGCTATTAAATCTCGCAAGGTAGGGAGTAGGGATTAGGGACTTGACAATGTTAATGTGTTGCTTGTCCGGTCTTAAGAATTCATTTTTATTCCTTATAGCATCTAATAAAAGCCTTCTTCTTAGTTGTCTTTTCGGTTCCTTTACAGGACCTTCTAATGAACGTGAGAGAGAAGCTTATTTTTGAACCAGAATATGCTGGTAGTAAAAAGGAAAATATCCCACCTAAATCCTCCCTTCGTATCCCTTGGGCATGGCTGCCAGCTGCTCTTTGCCTCCTTCAAGAGGTTTGGCTTGTTTTTATACAATATACTTGGTTTAGTGTAGGCTTAGCTTTCACTTTTCAGCTTTCAGCTCTTTTTATTTTCTTTTTAATATATTGTTAAAACTCTCATTTTTTTTTTTCTGATTTTTATTATTATACTTTGTAGTGATTTGGCACCCTGGTTTTTGTGTATGGCCTATCATTTGTTATGATTATTAAGTGTGATATTCTCCCCCCTCCCGTCCCTAAATCAAAAAGGTTTTGAAAGATGGATACTATTGGATTTCTGTAATCCAGGTTGGGGAAGTAAAGCTTGTGCAAGACATTGGTCAGGCAGCTGTTCAGCATCCAGATGCTAAGCCGTATACTCACGATCTTCTTCTTTCTATGGCACTAGCTGAGGTAAGGAAGGTCAGAAAATACGTTAGGATCTTGTACCATCCGTTTTGTTGGAGTGTCCTTTGCTTACCTTAAGTGTTTTATTGAAGTGTGCAACTGCAAAAATTGGTTTTGAGAAGACCAAGGTGTCCCAAGGATTTGAAGCTCTTGCTCGTGCTCAGTATCTTCTAAGGAGTAAAAAATCTCTTGAGAAAATATCATTGTTATCTCAGGTAATGCTCATGTGTTCTATAAGGCATTTCTCTGTTCAGTCTACTTTATCCAACTAATAAATTTCCCTAAAAGGAATAAAAGAGAGTATTTGCATGTTCTGTTTTGTCAACATCATCACTGGTAATACTGTTGTGCAGATTGACAAAGCTAAAGCTGTATGTGAGTGTCTGATTGCATCAAAAGGTTCTGATCTGAAACTTGAGGAAGCTTTTTCTTTGTTCCTTCTTGGTCAGGTATGTGCTTCTTTTTCCTCCCAATCAATTATTTTGCACTGTTTCGTAAGATATTTCTGGTATCATGCATAAGCTGTGATTTTTTTCCTTTTCAATGTGTTTTTTTAAGCTCTCTCTCATGTTTTCTCAATTCAATACTTGATAATATATTGGTTGCCAGGGTAGTGAGGCTGCAATTGTTGAGAAGCTTCAGAAGCTTGATGTGGACAAAAATAAGTTAATACAATCTCTATGTAAACAAGGCAACCTCAAACAAGCCCTGCAGTTCCTTCCGCACGAGCCTAACCCCTCCCAACAGACCTATGAGCTCTTACTACTCTCTTGCACTCACCATAAGTCTCTCTCTGATGGGCTTGACGTGCATCGTCACATTGTTGATGGTGGGTGGGACCAAGACCCTTTCCTGGCCACCAAACTCATAGAGATGTACTCAGCATTGGACTCTATTGATAATGCACGTGAAGTGTTTGATAAAACTCGTAAAAGAACTATTTATATGTGGAATGCACTCTTCAGAGCTCTTACATTGGTGGGTCATGGAACTGAGGTGCTAGATTTGTATCGACAAATGAATACAGTTGGGATTTCGTCAGATCGGTTTACATATACATATGTGCTCAAAGCTTGTGTTGTTTCTGAGGGTTTGAGTTCACTCCTACAGAAGGGGAAGGAGATTCATGGACATATTTTGAAGAACGGATATGGGGCACATGTTCATGTTATGACCACTTTGTTGGATATGTATGCGAGGTTTGGGTGTGTTTTTTATGCTAGTAGTGTATTTGATCAGATGCAGATTAGAAATGTGGTTTCATGGAGTGCTATGATTGCATGCTATGCAAAGAATGGGAGGCCTTATGAAGCCTTGGAACTGTTTCGGGAAATGATACTTGAGGCCCAAGATTTGTTTCCCAATCCTGTCACAATGGTTAGTGTGCTTCAAGCTTGTGCAGCTCTTACTGCGTTGGAGCAGGGGAGGTTCATTCATGGATATATCCTCAGAAGAGGTCTTGATTCAATCCTTCCAGTTATGAGTGCTCTTATCACAATGTATGCGAGATGCGGTAAGCTTGACTTGGGGGAACGAGTTTTCAGTTTGATGAATAAGAAGGATGTTGTTTCGTGGAATTCCTTGATTTCTAGTTATGGCATTCATGGATACGGAAAAAAGGCAATTCAAATTTTTGAAGACATGATCAATCATGGAGTTTCACCAAGTCGCATTTCATTCGTTAGTGTCTTGGGGGCTTGTAGTCACGCAGGTCTTGTTGAAGAGGGGAAGATATTATTTAATTCTATGGTTAAAGAACATGGATTATATCCCAGTGTTGAGCACTATGCTTGTATGGTGGATCTTCTTGGTCGTGCCAATCGGTTAGATGAAGCAGCTAAAGTAATAGATAATATGCGGATTGAGCCCGGAGCTAAAGTTTGGGGTGCTCTTCTTGGATCATGTAGAATACATTGTAACGTTGAGCTGGCAGAGAGAGCAAGCAGAAGGCTATTTGAGCTTGAGCCTAGGAATGCTGGGAACTACGTACTTCTAGCTGATATTTATGCAGAAGCCAAGTTGTGGGATGATGTAAAAAGAGTGAAGAAGCATTTAGAAGCTCGAGAACTCCAAAAGGTCCCAGGTCGGAGTTGGATTGAAGTTAAAAGGAAGATATACTCATTCATATCCGTTGATGAGTTTAACCCACAGATGGAGCAGCTCCATGCATTGTTGGCTGAACTGTCAGCAGAGATGAAGGATCAAGGATATAAGCCGCAAACCAAAGTTGTCCTCTATGATCTCGATGAGGAAGAGAAGGAACGAATAGTGTTAGGCCATAGTGAAAAGTTAGCAGTTGCATTTGGACTCATAAATACCAAAAGAGGGGAAACTATAGGATTTCCAAGAACTTAAGGTTATGTGAAGATTGTCACTCTGTTACGAAGTTCATTTCCAAATTCGCCAATAGAGAGATTCTGGTTCGAGATGTGAATCGGTTTCACCATTTCCGTGACGGGGTTTGTTCATGTGGAGATTATTGGTAGTTGCGGGCAGATATTTTTTTCCTAATATCAAAAGGGGAGAATTTTGAGGTTTATAGAGATCTTAAGGATGTATAGTGTATACTAGGAAACACTTCTACACATTCTTTCAATAAACACTTTTTTCTGTTTTCTTATTCATGTCGGTTTGAAACTCTCTAGTTTGTATTCTTATTTGTACTCAACTGGATTGGCATTCATAAATTAAACACAAATGCTACTCTTACCATATTTTTCACTTTGTTAGGTCCAGAGTTCGATTATTCATTCCCCCAATATCGCTTGTATAAAGAAAATAAACTTCACATAATTAAACAACCTTTTTTAAATCGAGCCATCAAGAGTTGAAACAACATCTGAACATTCATGCGCCATCGAGGATAAATTTAGAAAATCCAAACATGAACAATGTAATGTCCAACGTTTCTTGTGAGAGAGTGCAGAAACAAACACTTGCATTCAAAGCTGGAGGAAGCCCTTCTCTTTGAGGCTTTCAATAGTGTCCCTAAGACTTACTTCCAATGGAAGAAAATCAACTCCCAAACTTTTTGCTTTTTCCTTAGATATTTGAAAGCCTGGTTCACAAGGTTTGTCATCCTCACATCTGCCGAACAATGAAAGAAACAGATATTTTCCTTAGAAATTTACCTCATTCAGCGACCTTTGATCAATGACGTACTTAACGAATATAAAAAATGGGAATTTGATCGAAAGCAATAATTTGAAGATCAAACCGCATAAACTTGAAGAAACAAAATACAAATTTGTGGGATTTTGCAAATGAAAACTTACTTTTCAGGTGGGAAAAAAGTGGGATGGAGTTTATGTAAAATATTCAGAACCTTGGACACGGGTGTAACATGACCAACGAAACAATATCTGCCACTAGCCGAAGGGACTTCAAATGCTTGAACATGAGCATAGGCAACATCTCTAACATCACTAGATATATAATTTGAACTGATTACATCGTGGACATCTGCATGGAAACGAAACAATTAAAACTTAATTGCTAGAAACACTTAAAACTTGCATTACAAGAATCATCTAATTTGCTAGGAAACGGCCTGTGAGCTTCTACAAACAGTCATGATCTGCCCTAACCAAGAAAGAGAGAAAAAATCCAGTTGCGGAAGTGTACCATTTTTGAGATTCAGAATCATCTTCACAGTGAGATTAAGAGTTGGCTGTAGGAGCGGACCAATCACATACGATGGGTTTATTGTAACCAAGTCAATCCCATTTTCTTTGGAAAATTTCCAAGCAGCCTCCTCAGCTATAGTTTTTGAAAGAAAATACCATTCCTGCAAAAAATTAAAGAATGAAAGGTAAAAACTTGGAGGAAAATAATACGTACGTATGGGAACACACAAACGTACCTTCAACTGCGCACAAACAGCTTGATCCGAATACCATGTTTCGTCAACTACCACATCAGGGTTCAAAGGTCTTCCATTCACTATGACTGCAGCCATAGAAGATGTTAAAACCACTCTCTTGACAGTAGGAAATTTTACGCACGATTTTAGAACATTGAGTGTTCCCTTCACTGCAGGGCCAATTAGTTCTGCCTGAGACACAGAACGAAAGAATCGTTTCAAATAAGTATACTGAAGAGAGAGAGAGAGAGGGAGAGAGAGAGAGAGAGAGAGAGAGAGAGAGAGAATCCGCATCATTGCGTAACCTAGAAACTTAATAAAGAATTTCATGGCCAAAACACACTTCTAGTCCTAATTTGCTAGGGTTTCCAATCTGATCACATGCTAACACTTACCATCTATTTGTACCATCATTGTATCATCTCTCTAATAGAGGCAAAGTCCAACAACACATGTAGATTTCATCTCTAATAGAAAGATAATACAAAGAGATAATAAGAATAGCATTTTCGTATATGAACGTAAAAGGATGAAGTACCTGCGGATCAGCGGCTGAAAATTGTACAGGTGATGCTGTATGAAAAACACCTTCACATCCATCGACTGCAGCGTCGAAGGATCCTTCTTCTAATAAATTTGCTTTGAACAATTGAAGCCTTTCTTTTGCTCCATCAAGTGAGAGCAGGTGTTCTGTTTTCTTTGAATCATCTGCATGCACACAAAAAACATTCAAAATATGTCCTTCAAATAACCAATTGCCATTCAACACTTAAAAAAATATTATATTCTTAAAAATACTATTCCTTAGTGTAGATAATATCGCTTATTCTAAAAAAAAAAAATATATCCATCTAATAATTTGTGATTTAGAGAAAAAAAAAGAAAAAAAGTGTTTTGTGCCCTACCCATAGCATAATTTTTACATCTTCCTAACTCTTTGTTTTTACATGAGGAAAATGATTTTCACACATATTTTTTTTTTTTACATTTTGCATATTCATATTTATTTCTCTCCTTAATTCTCTTTTGATATATTTAATCTAAAAATTAAAACTAAATAAGTGTACAATAAAAGAAAAAGGTGTGCAAAAGTCATTTTTCAACTTACAAAATTACCTTCTACTTTCTAGGGTATACTCTACAATGTGGTTTTACGACTTCGAAATACTTTATTTCTCAAAGTTATTTGAAAGATCGTCCATGCAGAAGATTTAGTAAAATTGGAAATCGACGAGTCAAGTGTAATCGAATAAATAGGTGAGCACATCATTTTCATTTAAAAAACTCTTAAATGATTATGATAAAGGTTGAATAAAATAATGAATTACTAAATCACGTTATATGAAACCTTAGGCTATCTCTAATTGGACGGACCATAGGGTCATAGGCCAAAGAATAACCCTGTTTGGCACAAAACTCGTCTTCAATGGAGGTCTAGGGGACCCACTAAGCCAAAATCCAGCCATATGGCTAGCGGACTAGCTATTATTAGCCAGCCAGCAAGCTCGTTCAGTTGGACCCAGCTGACATTATTTTTTTAAACAAAATTTGAAAAAAAATAAATAAATTATGAATTATAATTTTTTTTCCTATAAATACCTAAGACATTTCTACACCATTTCTCACATCTTTTTCACCCTTCCATACTCTTTTACCTCATTTTATTTCAATTCTTCACATTCTATTCACCTCAAACACTTTTTTCATACCCCCCCCCCCTCTCTTACATCTTCCAATAATCTTTCCTTTAATTTTTTCACTAATTTTCAAATTGCTACATCTTCAAGTGGCACTCAAAATATGTCCAGAAACCTTATTTTCATATAGTAATTTAATTCAATTAACTAATAAAATGAAAGAATAAAATTAAAATAATAAATTATTGAGAGGGCTAAAAAATAGTCTCATTCGTTTGGAGATGGTATATAAATATGGTCTGACATTGTTCATAAAAAAATAATTTTTTGCAGGGCTATAATCTGAATATTGTTTTTGGGCCGGGGGGGGGGGGGGGGGGCGCTAAGCATAGCCCCTTCGGTTAGAGATGGCCTTAGGTCTTCCACACTAGGCTGAAAAAAAAAAAGTTTGAAACTAATACATTGAGTTTATATAAGAATTACATTTATACAATGAGTCAAAAAATGTGAATGTGATACTTATATTGAACGCATAAGTTTAATATATTAAACTCATGAATGAGATACTTATAAACTAGTAGGTTCTAAAATATAACTCTCACAATTACTGAACTCACATTAGTATTATAGATACCAAACTCAAATTATCTAAATCTTATGTTTTTTTTTTTTTTATAATTTTATTTTTTATAACAAAAATAACTAATTCTTAGTCAAACTATTGTAGAAAGCATTTTCTAGAATAAACAAACCCAACTTGCATTTCATGGCACTATGGGGGAGAAAATTTTCATTATGCTCGAAACATGGATGGTATAACATATGTTATTATATAAGTGGAGGGAAATTTTATTTTCTAAATTGTTAATTTTTTTAACACAAGTACCTTACCATTTATATAATGACATGTGATATACTACCGGTGTTCTGAACACACTAAAAAAATCTCTCGGGCCGGATGGATGACTGGGTCGGCCTAAAAGACATTATATTATATATTGTATATTGGTACTGCCATAATTCTTGGACACTTCCCAAATTCAATCCGTGTCTAGCTTTCTTCGGAATTTGAAATTTCTTATATACGTACGTTATGTCCGAAACTCAAAAAATGGGGATCGGTTTCAGTTGAAACTTGAAAATACAGCTCAACTTCAAGTCAAGAGTAAAATGATAATACAAGTTCATTGTTGTAACTTGTAAGTTTGTAAAAAAAAACATTTATTTTACCACGCTGAATAGTACATCCAAATTTTTTTATCAAAAATCTGAATTTTCCTTAGAAAAGCATTGATAAGTCTTTTAAAGAGAAATAACTGAAAAGCGCTTTTTTAGAAGATAAAAACTGCTTCTAAACTTCATGAAGACTAGCAATTTTTCGTTAGAAAACATTGTCACAGGTGCACTCTAGATCTGTTGCAATCGCTTTAGGCCATAAATTTGTCAATAAAAAAAAAAAAAAACCCAGAATTTAAAGGGTGAAACATATTGAAACAGCTGCTGTCTATATATATACATATGTATATATTAATATGAGTAATTTTATTAAGAAAGAAACTAAGAAAATGGTAGGGAGGGAGATATATATACAGTATACTGACTTGGTTCACGAACAGTGGCTTTGACAATATAACCTCGTTCCAGTAAGAGCTTCACCAGCCATGCTGCTATGTAACCGGAGCCTCCTGTTACACACACCACCTTCCTCATCCCCTCTCTCTTGATCTCTCTCTCTCTCTCTCTCTCTCCCCCCCCTCTCTGTCTCTGTCTCTGTCTCTCTCTCTCTGTGTCTGTGAAAGCTCAGAAAAAAAGCTTTATATTTAGTTTTGCCAGAGTTGTTTTCACGGTGAGGTGAGGTGAGAGATCAGAACGGTCAATAAAGGCAATGTCAGCTAAACACAAGTTACACAATGATATTATTGGTAATGTCTATCGTATTACTTTGTTAAGAAAGATTCTACTTCGTGACCGGCCACCTAGGGCCCCCCACTCATGAGGGGCTTTTTTTTTAACCATATATATAAATTTATTACAAATTTTGTGTCTGTTTATATAAGAAGTTTAAAGACTTTTAAGTTTTTGTCAAAATACAATACCCCATTGCCGCACAAAACAAGTTTTTTCAAAACTAAAGTTGATCAAATCTTATCTTCGATCAGTTATGTAACAAGAAAGAATGAATGATTTTAGCTATTTTATAATTGAAAAGAACTAGTTAAAAAAATTAGATTATGTAAAATATAATTAGTACATTTGCGTCTAAAAATGCGAAATATGTAATATTTAAGTAATGTTTGATATTATTTTTCTTTTGATATTAATTTTTAATGATATATAATGTAAAAGTAGACTTTTTAATGAATTTAGTGAATTTTTGTTATCAATGTACAAACGGTTAAAAATCAAATAATTCTAGGGTCCTATTTTAAAGGCTCGTTAAGACCCCCAAATACTTAGGGCGGCCTTGGACTAATTGGAAGAGAAAAAGCAGTCGTTGATTCTGTATAACATAAAATCAAAATATTTCGAGAATTTAATATTGACACACCTAAACAACTAGTACTCATCTCTTGTGAAATATATAAAATAAATTGCATGCCTATAGCATGATGATTATTTTAGAATGGCAATTACATATTTCTTATAAAAATAAAGAGTGAATATTTGTTTACCACCTTATTATTAAATCAAACTATATATTTAGAGAATTTAATATTGACACACCTAAACAACTAGTACTTGTCTCTTGTGAAATATATAAAATAAATTGCATGCCTGCAGCGTGATGATTATTTTAGAATGGCAATTACAAATTTCTTATAAAAATAAAGAGTGAATATTTGGTAAATACCACCTTATTATTAAATCAAAATATTTGGAGAATTTAATATTGACACACCTAAACAACTAGTACTCGTCACTTGTGAAATATATAAAATAAATTGCATGCCTGCAGCGTGATGATTATTTTAGAATGGCAATTACAAATTTCTTATAAAAATAAAGAGTGAATATTTGGTAAATACCACCTTATTATTAAATCAAAATATTTGGAGAATTTAATATTGACACACCTAAACAACTAGTACTCGTCTCTTGTGAAATATATAAAATAAATTGCATGCCTGCAGCGTGATGATTATCTTAGAATGGCAATTACAAATTTCTTATAAAAATAAAGAGTTAATATTTGTTTACCACCTTATTATTCATCGTTATATATTTTTAATTTTGAGATTTGTATAATAAAAAATTAGATCAAACTCATTCAACTATAATTAATGGATATATAGTGAGCATAGCTGTCACTTTAGGTTGATGAGCAAAATATTTTTTAAAAAATATAAAAGAGAAATTGGATGCATGATGATTTTTTTTGCTGTAGACCTTTTTCTAAAGGAGTTGAGCATGAAATCTAGGGCTCAAATAGTGGCGAAGCCACGTGAGGGCGGGGAGTGGCGGCCGTCACTCCTCTCGCCGGAAAACACGCCTTGAGCAAAGGTTTAACCCCTCCCCTCCTCGGAAACTAGATTGGTTCAACCCCTCCCTGTTCCGGTGCACTGGTTGGCTGATGGCGCGGAAAGGACCGATTTTGATGTTTTGGGGCTTCTCAGGGTAGGAATTGTGAGGAGGGTTGGATTGGATTTAGAATTAGGGTTTTGATCGAGGATTGGCGTGTTAAATTGGGGGAATTGGGGGGTTTTGGGGTCTAATTTGGTGGTCCATAGAATTTGAAGGGTTGGAGGGAGAGAATTGAATTGGCAGGCAGCAATGATGGCGGTGGTGGTGATGTGGATTCGTGGTGGATTGGCGGTGGATGGTGGTGAGATTAATGTTTGATTCTAATCGTGTGGGTAAAGGTTTTTAGATGGTTGAAATGAGGTAGGAGTTTATAGGAAACAGGACGACACCTGCCAAAAACATACCACACATTGATTAAGTAATTAAATGTGGAGATGCATAGTGAGTGCTCATTATTAAGAAGAATTGGTGATCTTGCAAATGAGTTGGTGAAGACCAGGAGGTATGCAAGCTACATGTTAGTGTATAAGCTTCTTACATTAGCTTTGGTGTTACCAGTTGCAACTGCTTCGGTGGAAAGAGTTTTTTCTGCTATGAAGATTGTGAAAACACGATTGCGTAACAAAATAGGGAGATCAATCGTTGAGTGATAGCAAGTTTGTTTACATTGAGAGAGATGTATTTGCTTTTATTGATAATGAGTCCATTATGCGACGTTCTCATGATATGAAACCTCGTCGGCAACAATTGTAATTTATTTGTATTGATAAATTACAGAAGACATTACTATATAAAAAGATTTGGTTGTTGCTATTCTTTTGAATCTTGCACTCTTTTAACTTCGCCCCTCCTCCCGTCAATTCCTGGCTTCGCCACTGGGTGCAAATATAAATTTTCTTTGTCCTGCTACAAACCCTCTGAGAGTTTTATATTTTATTTATTTTAGTTTAAGAACACAACAAATTCTGGAGTGTTGTGATGCTAATATGCGTAGTATTAATAAACAAAAATAATGTTATGACATGATTAGATTGGTAACTCCCATGTGTTCATATTACAATCAACATTGTGAGCGAAGCAGATTTCGGACTCTCATATTGAGTGGAACCTACTGCTGTCCTATAGAAGAATGGAATAATATCTAATATTTTACCACATAGTGTTTCTAAATTAGAAAAGACTAATCACTTAATATTGTGGTTTAGTTGTATTTATTTTCAGTTGCAAAATGATAGGCATTAAATTCTGGTGAATGGCGAATTCGAAATATTTATTCCTTCATCTTTTAGTGTAAATATTCATTGTATAAATAAAAATAAAAATGACCAATAAAAGAATATATAATATAAAATATTCTTACCATATTGTATAAAAGAATTGGACTAAATATCTCATATAGGATCTAATGTTTTAGAGTTGATGATTTTGTTTCGTTGCATATGCTTGTGAGTTATTATACCCCGCCGTTTTAAAGTTTCTAAATTTTGGTTTTGATACATAGCAGTATTTTGCATTGAAGGGGTTTTGAAGTTTTTTTTGTTGCATGTGCATCCCTTTCAACTATTAAACACAATTAATCCTCCTTTTACCTTGCACAATTTATGGGAAGAGGATCCTCTCCGGATCTACTTTGTGGAAATTCTAGGAATCCTGACATCTTAACCGTTCATCGTACATCGTGTAATCAATTTTCGTCAGATATTATTTTTATTTAATTTTAAATAAAAAAAGTCAAATGATTTCTGTTCGCACAATCACAATTAATGACTAAAATATGAGGATTCTAGGATCCCTACAAAATGGATCCACATGGAATCCAATTTCCAATTTATGTACTAATAAAAAAAGAAGAAAAATTGACCAAAAAAAAAAAAAGAAGAATGACCAAGACGTCGTTTGGGGGTTCCAAATTGTGTGCATCAACGATTTATTCAACTATTACATGTCTTTTTGCACTTTTTAAAAAGATTTGTTCGCCTTTTGCTAAAATAATCAATATTTTCAAAAGAACAATGATGCAGTACGAAGTAAAAGAATTACAACGGTAAATACTTAAAGAACTAAAATTTGGAATTCACCGTTTGTTTAAGAGAAATACGAAAGAGTTATTTTATTAAAAATTGAATTGATGATTTATAATGAGAACATCATCGACTGAAATAAGACATTTACGACTTCGTTGGGCATATTAAAAGCTTAGAAAATGAAAACGACATTAATCAGCTGAAAATCAAAAAATCCAAAATTCATTACAAATTTATTTAGCAGTTTTGGAAGCCTAAACAGTCATTTTTGACCTTAAACACGACGGAATCAGGTCTTGTTCTCCTCGCGATTCTCCTAAATAAAAGTGAATCCGAGTACCATCTTTCTTCCATAACCACATCAGATGTTAGAGGGGTCCAATCATCTTTACTGAAGCCATAGAAGATGTTAAAACCACTTCTTGACAGGGAAATTTCATGCATGATTTTAAAACATTTAAATGTTCCTTTAACTGCAGGGCCAACCAAGTCTGCCTGAAATACGGACAAAAACATTCTGGCTTTACATCATAAGTCTTGAAACTACATCGATTTTCTTCAACTACCTGTCGAAAGACCCCTCTTCGACTAAATCAGCTTTGAACAATTGAAGCCCTTCATTTGCTCCATCAAGTGAGTACAATTGCTCTGTTTTCTTAGAATCATATTCTGTGACATAGACAAACAGAACTAGTGAGTTGAACTAAGATTGCAGCAAGGCCTTTTGAGATAAAACCTCTAACCGGTTCCATTGGATGGGCGGAAGAAGTTAGAGAGGATGTGAGCTTCAACACAGTTGGCCTAAAGGTTTGCCTGATATGACAAGTAGATTTCAGAACCACAATTGCCTCTCCAGATCAAGATTTCAGAATATGACTTGGATCCTATAAATGTTCTTTTAAAAAAAAAAAAAAAAAAAAAAAAACTAGAGCAGAAACAAAAACACAATACAAAATAGAAAATCCAGACTTTGAAAATGAACAATAACAAACTAACTGTTAGGTAAGTTTACTAACAATACTTACTCGGATCACAAACAGTACTTTTGACAATGTTCAGGCAAAGATTTCTCTGGAGAAGGCTCATCGTACCTCAGCACAGCTACCCAAGAGATTGGTACTTTGGATGTATAGTTGGGCTCTTGCTTGCTGCGATATTACAAGTAGAGAACAAAGTTAGTTTTGAAAGGTGTCTTTATAGGGCCTTAGGTGTAGGCCTTGAGGCTCACAATCAAAACTAACTA